AGGAACTAGTGGGCAACAGTGTGTGAGGTTGATGGTCTTTGGGGTATTGTATTGAGAGGTTCAGCTTAGCAGTCAGCATGCCCACAACCTGTTCTCTATGGTGGTCCGGGTTTTCCCTCAACAAGCACACACCAATCTTTACTATATCCCAGTTCCCAGTAGGTACCTGTCTTAGGGTTACTATGGCTGTGATGAAACACAATGACTAAAAGCAACGTGGGGAAGAAAGAGTTAAATTTTCACTCGACCTTCCATAGGAGGGTCTGGGGCAGGGACCTGGAGGCCAAAGCTGACCAGAGGCCATGGAGTGGTGCTGCTTACCGGCATGCTCCTCATGGCTTGCCTAGCCTGTTTTCTCATAGAACCCAGGACCACCAGGCCAGGGATGGGACCACCCACATTGGGCTGAGCCTTTCCCCATCATCCACTAATGAGAAAATGTCCTGCAGCTGCATCTTATGAAGGCATTTTCTCAGCTGAGCTCCCCTCCTTTCAGATAACTCTAGCTTGTGTCAAGGTGACTTAAAACTAGCCAACACAGCACCTCTAGGTTTGTGCGCATGTCACATGGGTCCCTTTGAAGAAGACAGGGTGGAAGGGCACACCAGAGGCAGTCCCTAGGTCATAGTTCTTAACTAGGGACTCACTCTCTCACACCCTCCCTCCCTCTCCCCTCCCCTCTCTCTCTCAGCTGGATTAGATGGCAGAAGACCTGTTAGCTAGAAGAGTGAGATTCAGGTGAGAGCTTGCTTTAGCTGGATCCTGGCTCTGGAGTCCTGACCTCTAATGACCAGTCCCCTAACAACCAAGTGGAGCCATATACCTGCCTGCTCCAGGGCTGTGTCTCCTCTTCTTCCAGACACTCTTGGCTTGCCCAGGACACAGGCTAACATCCTAGCAATACCAGGAAGGGATACAGCAGGGAAAGAGCAGTGCTCAGGGAGGCAAGAACTCCAGGCTATTGGCCTGACTGCCACCAACTTGTGTACCTGTTAGATGTGAACCTCTACTCTCTGCACCTTGAGTCCCAGCTCTAAGGGATGCGTGGCCCCTAAAGGTCTTCTTAGCTTGATACGGGGACCTAAGGATAGGGTAAGAGTGGTGAGGTCACACAGACCTGGGTTTGGTCCCTGGGTATGTGGCTTTAGGTAAGTAGTGTCACGGTTCTGCAGAGTGGGGTCATTACACCTGTATTTACTGCATTGCTGTAAGGTTCAAACTGGCTCTGATGTAATTGCTTCATATCCTTGGGGGCCAAGAATGAGTGTTTTGCCCCTAACCTTCCCAGGAGGAAATGAAACCAGGGAGAAAGGCCTATTTCCAGCTGTCTTAGCATAGGAACTGAACCTCATCTGCAGGCTGTGTGTCACTGCCTCCTCAGGGAGGGCCCCTGCATGGGGCACCTCAGAACATAGCACTTCCTTCCCTCCTCTCTTAGGCCTGGCATTCCTCAGCATACTTCCCTGACTCAGTTGCTCTCTACTCAGACCCTCACAGTATCTCTTCTCTCCTGGCCCACTTTCTGCTGAGCCTGTCCCCAACTTTTTCTGCCCTTAGTGGGACAGGCCCCATGGGTACCATTCTGATGGCACGTTTTTGGTTTTTTTTTTTTCCTGTGGTGGTTTTCTGTGGTGGTGTGTGTTTAGGCCCTGAAAGACCCGGTGACATTTAGCATATGCATGAGAGCACACGGAGGAGCTATCCCAGTGTGATGAGGGTTGTAATCCTCTCTCCCATCCTTCCCTTGTCTCCTGGAACTCAGCCCAGCCTCCTGTCCCTCCCGTTGACAGGAGCCAATCTCTTTCTGGCATTGTTGTGCTGGCTCAGCAAACTCCAGGGCTCCCACCCCTGGCCATCAGCCCTTGGCACACAGGCTTGTGCTTGAGTACTGCACGAGTGTTGCAGATGGGGTACACGTGCTGGACTGCTATGCCTACTGTGGCCCTGGGGTGTGGGGAGTCTGGCAGAACCAAACCCCGCTCCCCCGATGCAATCATCAGCTTATTCTCTTGTTGCCACCCAGGCATGCTTGACTCCTTGATGCCCACCACCACTAGGCACAGCTGCCAGCTTTGTAGGCACAGAGGATGTGGCGAATTAGTGGTCATGCCTCCTCAGTAGAGTGGCAATTGCACTCAGCATGCAGGTGTCCCAAGAGGTATGCATCCATGCAAGTGTAAGACAGACGTCCACAGGGTACTTCTCCAAGCTAGTTCTGCACTACCAGGTGGGTCTAAGGTCCTAGGACCTGCCTATCCCTTAGCCCTGCATTCAGGAGAGAAAGGCATCAGCGAGAGAAGGAGTAGAGATAGGAGGATGCCAGGGAGGAAGGAGAAGGGCATGAGGAAGAAAGGAAGGGAAGGAAGCTGGAAGTATGAAAGAACAAAGATGGAGATCACAGTGGAGTTAGGACCCCGTGGTCCCTGTCAGAGGCAGGCAGCTCTCAGACTGTGCCTCTCTGAGCCCCTGGGACTCTTCTGAATGCTTTGCTGGCCTCTGAGCCAAGCACTACATATCATCTGTGGAGAGTGACAGGGCAGCACTGGTCCATGAGGATGGCCACTTCCCTTCACAGGGCTATATTTCCATGGTTACAGCCTTAGCAAGTTCCTCTTACTGCTTTACTGATCTTAAAGCAGTTGCCATGCCCTTGTCCCCTGATACATGAGGGCCCCAGTACCTTATTTTTTTGTTCTTGCCATTGCCATTCCAGAATTTACTGCAAATAGAGCCAACGCCATGCAATGTCTAAACCATGAGCTAACCCCCAGCGAGGTCTCAGAGAGCTGTGCCCCAGAGAGCTGCCATGGTTCAGGGAGGAGTATGAGGAGACAGGATTTCTAGTTCCTTAATAATTCCTTCTGCATCAGCCACTGTGTGTTCATCTTGTTTCAGCCTCAAAACTGCCTTTTTGGTAAGGAACATTATTTGCCCAGTTTTGCACTTGAAGAGGTCCAGAGAAGTTGAGGTATTGATTCAAAATCATAGCCTGTAAGTCACATAACCACTGATAGTTGATGACATGGTTTCTCCTGGGCAGTGGCTGGGTGTTCCCAGGGATCCCTCTGGGAAAAGATTGGAGTAGTCATTCTCAATCCATGTAGGTCGTGACCCCCTTGGGGGAGAGTGTTGAACAACCCTTTTACAGGAGTCGCCCAAGACCATTGGAAAAAACAGGTATTTGCATATGTTTCACAACAGAAGCAAGATTATAATTATGAAGTAATGACAAGAATAATTTTATGGTTGGGGGTCAGCACAGCGTGAAGAACTGTATTTAAGGGTTGCAGCATTAGGAAGGTTAAGAACCACTGGGCTAGAGGATCAGGAACAGGACCGTACAGCTCTGCCCCACTCCTGCCTTCCTCTGGTGTCTCCAGCCTTTGCCAGGGTGTTCCGTGCCTGCCTGCTACCCACCAGCTGTGCGGCCCTGCGAGCATAGGCCTTTCTGCTCTGCTCTGAATTGCCACGTTGGCGGCTGAAGCGGGAAGCATATTGTGCGCAGAAACAAAACGGAGTGGTTTTTCCTTTTTCTGAAGGTGGTAATGGTGCAATTAGTGGCTAAGCCATCACCCCCTCCTCCCTGGCTTGCCTCCCTCCTTCCTCTCCACCTCCCTTCTCTTTCTTTCCTGAGGAAAGTGGCTGAATTGAAAAGATCTCCCATCAATCTTTCTTTCACTGACTCAGGAAGAGGGACAGAGGGCCCTCTAATGTTTCTAGGGTACTCGAGCCTCAGTTGGGTCAGGCACTTGTTGGCGCTGGAGACTATTCAAAGGTACCACCCTGTCCCTACAAGTGAGGTAAGCAGTGGATTCTGAGGAGCAAGTTGGAAACAGAGAGAATTTGCATTTCCAGGTCCTTTTATGTGTCCCCTTGTTCACTGGGGCAAATACTGGCGTGAGACCATGAGACCCCTGCAAAGCCACCCGTGAAGCATGCTGAAGCACCCCCCTTTTTTTCCTTTTCAGAATGGTGGTGTGTGTATTCAAGACCAACCTACAGTATGAGAGCGCTCATAGACTCACTTTAAAACTTCTGTGCTTTGTCTTCCAGAAACTGAGAACCCTTCAGGCTTACCTACTTCCCAGAACCCTTTTTTAAAAAATTTCATTTATTTTATTTTTACCTTAGGTCACTCCATCTTCACTGGAGTCTTCTACAGGGATGACTGTCTTCCAATTTTCTAGAAAATGAGATGGGGGCTCAGAGAGCTTCCTCAGTGACTTGCCCAGGGTCACACAGTTAGTAAATGTCAGAGCTAGAACTCAGATTACTAGCCTTAAATTCCATTCCTTGGGGGCGTGATTTGTGACTACAAGTGTGGTTGATGCACAGAAGAAGTGAATTCATTAGGGAAGATGGTCAGCAAGTTTGAGAAAGAAAACTCCAGGGCAGGGTACATCCACACCACCGGCCCAGCCCTGGGTGAGTCCGGCCATACTCACCTCATTATACTTACCTCCCTCCAGTCCTACCTTAGCAGGGAGCACAAGCAGAAACTGGGACATGAGCCCCAGGAGACCAAATCTTCATGGTCCCTCTGGGAGGATGGGTGGGGAGAGCTTTTGGAAGAGGCCTCAGGAGGGGCCCTGCTGCACAGTGGTGACAGGTAGGGGTGTGAAAGCAGACAGAGCCATTCCTTCAGCATCCTGGGTCTGCTCTGTATTTCTCCTCAAGCTAAGATGACAGTGCGATACATGCACAGTGGCTAAAAAGCAGTTAGAGCAGGAGAGAAATAAGGACAGAGGCAGAGGCCAAGTCAACCAGACCAATTCCCAGAGGGAGCAGAGAAACCATTGCAAAGACTATAAGGGGGAAGGGAAGGAGAGATAAATTAGCTTCCCCTGTAAACCTTAGAACCCAGCTGTTGCCAGGGCAACGGGGCAATACCTGTCTCTCCAGAGGAGATGAAGTTGCCAGGGTAACTACATCCTGTCTTTCTCAAGGACCATCCCAGAATGTGGCACCCACTAGCTGTTACCATAGCAACTGCCTCTTTGCCCCACTTAATCCCATCCTGTCTGTTAAAAGGGCCCTATAGTTGGAGGTGGGGGAGGTAGGAAGAGAGCCGATCACTTGTGGACTAAGTTTGTTCACATCCCCCTTCTCCAACCCCCTCAGTACATCACCCTGGGGGAACAGGGTCCACTTGCTTCTGGGCCCACACAGTCCTGCAATATTGGGTATATAAGGCCAGGGCAATAGAGGAGCAGGTTTTGAAGTGAAAGGCAGGCAGGTGTTGGGGAGGCAGTTACCGGGGCAACGGGAACAGGGCGTTTCGGAGGTGGTTGCCATGGGGACCTGGATGCTGACGAAGGCTCGCGAGGCTGTGAGCAGCCACAGTGCCCTGCTCAGAAGCCCCAAGCTCGTCAGTCAAGCCGGTTCTCCATTTGCACTCAGGAGCACGGGCAGGCGAGTGGCCCCTAGTTCTGGGAGCAGAGCATCAGCATCCCAGTCCTAGTCCCCAGCCTAAAGCCTCGCCTGCCTGCCCAGTGCCAGGATGGCTACCATCACCTGCACTCGATTCACAGAAGAGTACCAGCTCTTTGAGGAACTGGGAAAGTGAGTCACACCTCAGGGAGTCCTAGAGGGCATGGGGGATCAGCCTCTTGGGCAGGGGGCGTGTGCCTATGTGGCTCGAGCTGTCCTGTGCATGCAGAGGGAGGTGTGCAGCATGATTTGGAAGCACTGTGTATGCATAGGGTGTCCAGAGTTAGGCATTGACACATTTATGTGCCCAGTCAGCCTGATTTTGTGTGTGTGTGTATGTGTGTGTGTGTGTGTATGTGTGTGTGTGTGTGTGTGATGGAAAGGAAACAGATTGGTGGTATTGATGCACACACCTTTGCATACAAATACACATAACCTGGGTTCACAAGGATGTTTAGAAACTTGGGGTTTGAAAGGGATTTTCCCACTTGGCTGAGTCTGAGCTGGAATCCTTTCTGTAGTTGTACTTAGAAACCTCCAGTGACAGAGAGAGTTTGCCACCACCCCCACCTGGAGAGCTTGACTTTAGACACTGTGCAGAGTGGCTAGCTTTCCCCCTGACACATTCCCTCCTGCTTTCCCAGTTACCTTCCAGGAGCAAGAGCTTTAGTGCTGAAGGAGTTAACATAAAGCAATCGAGGTGTTGGGAGGAGGGGAAGGACAGTCATCCAGCTGGGGGTGCCACTGTGGCAGTGGCTGTGCCCAAAAACTGTGGTCCTTTGGCAAAGTTGCCCATTGTGTTGCACCTCTGCTGAGAGGAGAGAGGCTCCCTCCAGGAGAGCTTCAGGCTATAGATACAAGAGAAGGTTTCTAGGTGTTCCCAGCTGGGTTGGAGGGGGGGGTCTTGAGATGGATCGGGAGTTGGGGAGTAGTTTGGCAAAGTGCCCCACGGATGCATAAGTGCTCCTACCAGCCCTGTTAGGTTCCTTGCTGTGGGAGCAGGAAAATGAGACAAGAGGCCCTGTGAGCAGATGCGTGCCAGTGTGGGTCCTGCAGGTACATGTATATCGAGGAGAAGCTATATATGAAATCTGTGGGGAGCAGATGGAGTTGTGTAAGAAGCACACTGGGCACACTGAGAACTGAAAGGGCAAACACTGGTGCAAGTAAAGCATGAAGAGATGTGTGTGTGTCGTTTGTGTGGCAACCCCCCCCAAAAAATGACAGGCAAGGGTGCCTGTGTGCAATTATGCAAGGGTTGCTCTTGGCTAGGTGATGTTGCAGCAATGGGCATGCATCTGTGTGTACATGTGTGGCAGGCAGGTCAGAGATGGGTACTCTCAGTGAACGTGTGTGTGTGTGCATATGTGTGCGCGTGCCCTAGGCTCATGGGCTCATGTGGGTGTGTGGGTGTTGTAGGCATGTGTGAGCTTATGATGGTGTCTGCATATGTGTGGGAGGTGGACCTATGGCTATGTATAAGCATAGCCCTTGAACACATTCATACACACACACACACACACACACACACACACAGAGAGAGAGAGAGAGAGAGAGAGAGAGAGAGAGAGAGAGAGAGAGA